AATCAGCTGGGTGGGTCTTGCCTCTAGCCTCTTTGCAGGAAGTTCTGCTGAAGGGTTCCTTGCTGGGCCTGTACTCTGGGTTGAATGAAGATCTGGGCCCTGGGTGGTCTCACTCACTTGCTTGCTTTGCCTGCATTCTGGGTCTATTCAGGATCCCGTGGCCCCAGGCAGTCTCACTCACATGCAGGTCCTGTGCTCTGGGTCTATTCAGGATCCGCGGGCCCCGGGTTGTCCAAGAGTCATAGCTTTGTAGTAAGACTCTGTACCAATTACATAAAAAAGTAAAAAAGAAAAAACAAACCTTATACAGTAAAGTACTTATAAAGAAGTACAATATAACGTTACACAATATCCTGTGAAATATTCTTCAACACCTTGTATTTTAATGGTAGCTTCTACTGCTTGTCTTATGCAACACACGAATAGTAGCAGCTACCATTAAAATCTGTTTTTACCGCTGATTCAGAAATGCTTTTAGATACACCATTGTATGATATATGCAAATTAAATATATTTATAACAAGTAAATAAAGATGTAAATGTTCCCCATGTGTTAGATCCTCCAGAAATGTTGAGTACTAACAGTCTGTCACACAGAATAGTTGCATATTGTAATTGATATTTCCAGGCCATCTATGATTAGATAGTACATTCACAGCTATGTTGCAAAGAAAACTTTCTAGTGCACCTAATACCTTTTCATTTTATCATTACTTTAATTGCTTCTTTTTAGATAGATAGATAGATAGATAGATAGATAGATAGATATAGATACACATAGGTAGCTCTTAGCACTACATTTTTTTTTTTAATTTTGAAAGTTACATACCATTGGGTATGCTGTGGGTATATTGTTAGGTATGCTTAAATGTGGTTTAGTTAATATTGGTGAAAATAAGGCAAATTCTATGTTGCTAATTTAGCTGACAGTAAGACAGATGTTAAATGTAGCTGCAGTAGAGACAGCTATAGAAATGGTTAACACAGTTTCATGTATGATTAAGTCACTATTAATAATGGACCATTCTAATATCAATAAAGTAATATTGGTAACATTATAATCTCAGAGAACATCTCAGTGAAAGTTTTGTATATATGGCCAAAATAAAATCTTGGTCCTAGTAATGATATACTTTTATTGTAGTTACTGCTTCATTATAGAATGTTATTGGCAGTAATGGTGTGTTGGTTGTAATGGAAGCGTTCTGAGTATGACATTTATGTTGCTGTCTGCAGTGTTTCCTTCCTCATAATAATCATGATTTATATGAAAATAGTCTTATTTTAATGTGAGCTAATAATAAAGCTATTGCCTCATTGCTCAGTGGTATGAGCCTTAGTGGAAAACTCAGGATAACATTCACATAATCTGTGTGCTAAGGTAAGAAGCATGATCATTTTATTTTTAGCTAGTAAGTAAAAGGTACATAAAGAGCACCCTTCATTTGCGGAACATCCTTGCATAGCATCAAAAGGATCCACTGGGGCAGCTGGGGCTAAGCATATATAACCTCTCATTTTACATGCTTAAAAGATCTGATGTGATTTTATCAGTGAGATGTATGAAAATTTCTTCTAGCCATATGCTTCATTCTCTCATGACAGAAGAGGTTAAAATGATAATCAGATAAAACTTTGCATGGAAGTAGAAAAACTGCTTCAGTTATGACTGGGTTTTCACAGGCTATTCTCTATGCAGTCTGGCTAATATTGCCCAACCCTACCTACCAGGTCAACAACCAGTCTCAATATTTTCCTTTATATTTTAACAGTGAAACAAAGGAGTTAACTGTAACAGAAAGTGGTAGTAGAAACTGTTGCTCTCATTAGTATCAGTAACTCTGGCAATGCTATTACCAAAATCTATTTTAAACAAAGCATAAAGAGAAAAGGGTTCTAAATATCATTATTGTAGATGAATATTTATTAAAACATTTATGAATTCCTAAAGGTTTTAATCTAATTCCTAGGCATCCGGCTGAGCAACAGTAACAAGTTTTTGCATGAGGCAGAATGCATATGACAGTTGGTTACAGAAAGCCCAGAGCCCATTCTATGTATATGCCATAGCTGTTTTACAATAATGTGACACAACACTTTACAAATAAAATCAAGACAGACTCTTTATAAGCTCTGAATAGTATCCCAAGCTTCAACTAATTCACAATCAAATTTCAGGGAAAGTAGGTTGGCCAGTTACTGGCAAGATGTGCCAAAAGAGCAGGTGGGTTACAACAGGTGGAGGCTGAGATGATTAATTTAGGCCAGATACTGTCATCAGGGTCTTCTTCCAGGTGGATTATGTTCTGTTCTACCTGAGATAAACACTTCTTGCCTTTTTGCAGAATTCTGCATTTCTGGTGAAAAGATTTCCATTCCAGTCAGTAAGGAGAGGATAGAAGAGCTGGGATGAGAAGTAGCTAGCTAACAAGGTCAAAAGATGGGGTCAACAGGTCTGCAACTGGTACCACTGTATTCTCTAGTATTTTCTGGTTGTTGGGTTTTTTTTTTCCCTGTATTTTAGGAAAGGGCCTACAGAGTGTTCGGAATCTCACTACTAGATCGGACTCATAGTATTCTCCTGTTTACAGCCTCCCAAGTGCTGGAATTACAGGCTCACACCACCACTCCCAGTCTCAATTGCCATCTCAGCATGCCCCAGGGGCAGGCCTGGCACTGCAGGCCCAAGGATCAAACCCCTGGCCCTTTCACCTGCTTGCAGGCACTTTAATCCGCTAAGCTGTTTGGCCAGCCCTGCTCCACAGTGTTTTGTTTTCCAATTTAGAAAAGAGTAAAGCATTAATGGGGTGTAGCAGCTCTCAGTGTTAGTATTTATTCAATGCCAAGCATATACCTAAAACTTGGAATGTCTCTAGTTATGTTAATGGTTTTAGAAGAAAGTCCAAAATATTAGTAGAATGTGTAATTGTTGCAAATCTATTGGCATTGATTTCTGTAGGAGGTAAAAAGTATCATTGCACTCAAGGCCATTTTATAATAAATTTTAAGATGGTTGTAGATTTTTACTTGGTTTTTATAAACATGAGATTAGTGCCTTTAATTTGGCATAAGATATGTTACGGTTTGTATCTAGTTGTCCTCACAAAGCCTCTTGCAGTCTTGGGTGACTTCTGGAGTTTGTGATTGATTATTGTGGGTATGGATGCTGCACTTGCCCTGGAGCAGGTAATTTGTAGTACAATGTAAGGAGGGGAGAGAGTCTAGCTAGCTGCCTGGACTGCTGCCACTCCCTTTTCTCTCTTGCTCCTTGCCACCACCATGAATGGCTTTTCTCTGTCTTAAGCCACTCTGCCTTGAAGCCAGCTGAGTATGAACTAAAACCTCCACCAATTATGAGCTAAATAAAACTTCCCTTCCTTCATTTTGGGTGTTGGGTACTTTCTTTTTACCCAATACATTTTATTAGTAGCAGAAGCAATTATTTCACCTATAGAAAAGGTGTTATTGGGTATGTTTGTTTATTTTGGTACCAAGAATCAAACTCACTACTTCACACTTGCCAGGTAGGCTCTGTGCTACTGAACTATGTTCCCAGGCCAGTGTTATGCTTTCTAATGAACACTTTTCCTATCTGATATTTATGATTATCAGCTCTAACCTTATGAGTAATATTTGTTGTTGGTGATAATGTTTCCAAGTGATATGGGGGTAAATGATCTGGGTGGATGACCTTCAAATGACATACGGGAAAAATGATATATGGGACAAATTCATGTTCTCTAAAACTGAAGCATGAATTTTAGGAATAAACGGAAGTTATGAGCAGAATATATTTATTGGGGGAAAGAAAGCTCCTGTCCAAGAAAGGGACAGAAGGGGGGCCCTAGTGGGTTTTCTCTGGGAATAGCTCTCTTCCAGGGACTTTTATGGAGTAAATTGTTGTAGGCAGCTGAATTAGATAGAAATATTATAGGTAGCCAGACAGAGCCAGGCCCTCAAGGACAATATGGAAGAAAAGGTGACTATGCAACTTGGAAGAGACAGACACTCCTGTCTAGGCCAGACCTCTAGACAAAAGAGGAAACATACAGCTATGTACTTCCCTAAGGATGGGTATCAGGGATTGATATTCTAAATAGGTATCAATCACCAAGAGTCCAAATGAGTCACTAACCCAACTCGCAACAGGAAGAGACCTTGTCCAGTATTCATGCCCACTTGCTGTGTGATTCCCTTCCCCATTTGGTACTGGATTGAATTAATTTTACCTGAGCAATGGTGCTTATAATCTCATTGGTTGACCATAGTTTTGTCCCACCTCATGATCACCTAAGCGAGTTCCCATGTTCTCCACCACCTTAGACCCATCTCACCATATGGTTTTCCTCTATAAAAGTCCTTGTAAGAGAAAACTTGCCAGGGACCACCGGCTTGACAGCCCTCTCCTGTCCCTCTCTCAGACAGGAGCTTTCTTTCCCCTAATAAATATATTCTGCTCATAACCTCCATTTGTTCCTAAAATTCATTCTTTGGTTTTAGAGAATACAAACTCATCCCAGGTACCTTTCAGGTTATGAATTTCATTTTTCCCCCCTATATCATTTGGAGGTCATCCACCAAGATCATTTTTTCCCTATACCAAAACCATGCGGTGAGTTGGGTCTAGGGTGGTGGAGAACATGGGAACTTGCTTAGGTGGGCATAAAGTGGAACAAAACTATGGTCAACCAATGAGATTACAAGCACCATTATTCAGGAAAAATTGATTAAATCCAGTACCAAATGAGGAAGGGAATCACATAGCAAGTGGGCATGAATACAGAACAAGGTCTCTTCCTGTTGGGGTTGGGTTAATGGCCCTTTTGGGGCTCTTTCAAAGAGATTGATACCTATTTAGAATATCAAATGCCCATCCCTAGGGAAGTATTTAGCTGTATGTTTCCTCTTTTGTCTTGAGGTCTGGCTCATACTGGAGTGTCTCTTCCAAGTTCCAAAGTCACCTTGTCTTCCATATTGTCTCTTTGAGGGCTTCACCTTTTCTAACTGCCTATAATATTTCTATTGATAGAAATATTATAATATTTCACCTGCTTACAACATTCCCCCCTCTGAAGAAGTAACCCAAACTTCTGTGAGGGAACCATGAGCGATGACTGCTCTGGCTTCTTCAGGCTGAAAGGGGTCATAGTTGTGAACCAACAGTCAGAGATACTCTCCATAGATTCTATCTAAAGGCCCTCAATGGACACCTGGTATCTTTATCTTGGGTGAGTGTATAGCTTTGAGTCTGGAGGTGACAAAGCCAGACAATTAAACATGCATGGGTCAAATAATCACATCAACAGGATAATTATGAATATAGTCAAAGATTTGTATCAAGTAGACAGTAATAACTTCCCATAAAAAATGATAAACATAGGGTCCAGGGTATCTCAGCATCTTATATACCATTGATTTGATGTCTAATATTTTGAATAGCTATTGAAACATTAGAAGGATCTGGATTGTCATAATATTTTAAAGTTTATAATTATAAAAAGACTAGCTAGAACTTTTTGTAGGTCTATTAGCAAGATCTCTTAAACATGGGGTTTAATCTCTTTTTTTTTTTTAAATCTTCCATGTCCATTGGGTATTATCTCAAATAATCTGGCCAATTCTTATTATTACTGGGGTACCTGAATTACAGGAACTCGGAAAACTACTGAGTACTCTCCAGTTGGTGAATGGGGCCACTGGCTAGTTAACTACTGACACATCTGCATCAGCATCTAGTTTAACAGGCTTTCTCCTTATAATGGCAGTTAACATAGGTTCCCTCAGGCTGAGAAAGGAAGACTCATGACCACCTCAATCTGAAACTTTCTCTGACTCCATCATGAACACCTTCTTTTTTCCCCCTCTAGCAGCTTTGTACATTTGTTGCTTGAAATGTCCCTTCTCTCTGTCTGGATCCAGGGAAGCATAACTTTTCTCTCATTTCCCTACTGGCCTTTGTTCCTATAGACTGCTAGTATCACTATTCTCATTTTCTGTCTATAATTCCATTCTGTATCCTTTCTACTATGAAACATCTCAACTAAATTTCATTCCTATAACCTTTTAGCTTCTGCAGCATGTGTCAGATACCTGGGCCCCACTGAGCAAGGTATAACTTGTAAGGGGCAATACCAAAGGATTTCTCCTTTTAATATTGTGACTCTGAGTTTTATGTCACAAATACAAGACCTGTCTCTATATACAAACCCAAAGCTACTGAACACTGTTTTATGCTGACAGGATTTTATCTGTCCTTGGGGATCTGTTTTATTTTTTTTATATTTATTTATCTTTTTTT